ATTTTTGCTTTTGATTGTATCCCACATAATTCTCAGGATTTCTTCATTTTTCTTTGTTCTTTTTTTCTAATTTTTCCTCAAAGTTCTTGTCTTCAGTTTTGCTGATCCTGTCTTCCATTGTTTCAAACCTCCTGCTCAGCCCTTCTGTGACACTGTTCTTTTCTGAAATCTTGTTTATCTTTTGGATTTCTCATTGTTATTTTTGTATGATTTCTAGTTGTGAATTTATTTTGGCATTCTGTTCCTGTATTATTTTCCTGAATTCTTCCAGTTTTTGGTTGTATTTTCCATGAATTTTTCTGCCTTTTCCATGAATTTATCTTTGTTTTTCCTCATTTTTGCCTGCTTTTTGCTTCAACTCTTGGGTAGCTCTGAATACTACAGATTCGAATTCCCTATCAGGTAGTTCTAGTGCCTTTTCTTCTACTGGAAAGTCATCTGTTGTTTTATTTTGGATGCCTACTGGAACCATCCTGTCCTTTTTTTTATTTAATATTTTGATGTTCTCTGATGTCTTCAGGACATTCAGTAGTTAATTTCTTCGTTTATTTATTGAGGATATGTTTGCTTTGCCCTACTTTTTGTATTATTTTGTTATGTCTGAGCAGGTGAGCTGTGTGTTCTTTGTGGTTTGCTTCTCTGTGGGCATGATACTTTTCACCTCTTTGTCCAATAGGCAGGGTCAGTCACTCAGCTATGGTGCAGCAGGGCAGGTCCAGCTGAATGAGAGGGCCTGGAATGGGTTTCTTTGGCATGTGCTAGGTCTGACGGGGTGAGCTAGGAATCAGTGCAGGGTAGGTTCTGGTAGGCTATTCCTTTGCTGCTTGGAGGTGTGATGTTCAGCACATGGTGCAGATAAGCCAGAAAGAGAGGGGAGGTTGTGATGTATGAAGCTAAGATGAGTATGAGAAAGAAGAGAAAGGAGAGAGAAACAGGAGCCAAAAACAAACAAAGAAACAAACAAAAAAAACCACATACACACACAAAAAAAGACTGCTAAGGGAGCTTGCTGTTGGAGTTGAGAGACAAGAGATCAAGAAATGGAGAAAAACAAAAAGAAAAAAAATAATAATAAAAATTAGAAAAGAAAAGCCCCCAGGGATCCCACCAGTGCAGCTTTCAATACCGGGGAAATGGCTCCTAGGCCCCACAGTATAGCCTGGCTAGAAGGTGCAGAGGTGTCACACAATGCCAGGTATTCAAGAGACAGGAAAAGAAGGTAAGTATAGACAGATGAGAAACTGAGAAATAAAGAGAGAGAAAAAGGAGACAAGAGAGAGAGAGAAAAAAAAGAAATGCCCCCAGGGATCCCACCAGCACAGCTGCACAGACAGGGGAAGTGGCTCCGAAGCTAGGCAGTACAGCATGGCTAGAAGGGGCTCCCAAGCCTCGAAAAGAAAAAGAAAACAAACAAATAAGACAAAACGAACAAAAACAAACCAAAAAAGACCCCCAGGATCCCACCAATGTGGCGACAGGGAACAGAAAAGCAGTTTCCCAGCTGAGCGGTGCTTCACAGCCTTTTAAGAAGAAGCAAAGCTGGCGCATGGAGCCAGGTATTCGAGAGAAAGGAGGGGGAGGTGGTGAAAGGCAGGGAAGAAACCAAAAGAATCGGAAAAAAGCAACACCAGCAACAAACAAATGGCACTGATGGAGCCAGCCAGTGTGAACAGGGCAAATCCAGATGGCACAGGGCTGGAGCCAGTGTCTTCCGGCCATGAGACTGTGGCCAGCAGGAAGCAGTGGAGGCTGAGTTGGTTGAAGAAGGGTGGGAGGTGTAAAGCATATATCACTGGTTACCAGTTGCTCTGTCTCCTCCTGGGAGCTCCATTAAGCTGCTCTCCCGTACTCCCTGTCTGCCGATCTCCAACAGGAGTCCAAGATGGTGAATCCGTGCTGCATTAGCTGATAGGGGACCTCCACACATATCTCTCCTTATTCTCCATTCCCTGTCAATTTCTTATTCCGTTCTGTGCTTGACTGAGTTCTTTATCTCTTCATTAGATGCTTAGGGTTCCAGGATTGATGTTTATCTCTGTTTTACTTAGCTTTTTGGGTCTTTGATGTGGAGGGATGGCATGGAGTTTCTGTCTGTAGCACCATGTTGGCTCCACTTGTGCTTACAAGTTTTAAAAATAAAAGGAACAATAATTTATTATACTGTGCATTTATTACTTGTGCATTTTGTATAAATGAACAAACATTTATTTAAAAATAGGAAATGTGGCTCTGTAAGGTGGTTGAAATAAATCAAGGGTATTGTTGTATACACTGTTCCTCAGTAGATTCAAACAATTCTTCACCTAAAGGGTTCACACGTGGAAAAAATCTTATTGGGGTTATTGTAGTTGTTATGTGCCATTGAGTTGGCTCCAACTCATAGCAACCTTATGTATAACAGAAATGTTGCCTGGTCCTGCAGCATCTTCACAATAGTAGGTATGTTTGAGCCCATTGTTGCAGCCACTCATCTCATTGAGGGTCATCCTGTTTTTTTCTGACCCTTTACTTTACCAAGCATCATGTCCTTCTCCAGGAGCTGGTCCCTCCTGATAATATGTCCAAAGTAAGCGAGACAAAATCTCTCTAGCCTGGCTTCTGAGGAGCATTCCAGCTGTACTTTCTCCAAGACAAATTTGTTCATTCTTCTGGCAGTTCATGGCATATTCAATATTCTTTGCAAACACCATTATTCAAATGCATTGATTCTTCTTCAGTCTTCCTTATTCATTGTCCAGCTTTCTTATGCATGTGAGGTGATTGAAAATACTGTGGCTCAGGCCAGGTACACCTTAGTCATCAAAGTAACATCTTTGCTTTTTAAGATTTTAGAGAGGTTTTTTGCAGCAGATTTGCCTGATGCAGTACGTTGCTTGATATCTTGACTGCTGCTTCCATGAGTATTGCTGTATACACTGTTTCTTGGTAGATTTGAACAATTCTCTAGCTACAGGATTTATGGGTGGTAAAAATAGCATTGGGGTAGGAGACAGAAAACTAGGATTCCATTCCCAACTGTACTATTATAACAATTGTGTGACATGGACAAGCTGCCAATCGTCTCTGAACTTGAATTTTTTCATATATAAAAAAGAAATGTGCCAAATTCCCTATTAATGTTCAGTTCAGTGGAAGTTGGAGTAACTCTTCCCAGTACTCACAGTAATCCCACAACACATATTAAAACAGAATTGCAATCCCTCCCCAACTGCAACTTTCTCTTACTTGGTCTTTTAGAATAGAAGTCAACAAACATTTTCGGAAAAGGACGATATAGTAAATAGTTTGGGCTTTGTGAGCCACACAATCTCTAGTGCGACTACTCAGCTCTGCCACTGTAGCAAAAGTAACCACAGACAATACATAGCTGAATGAGCATGTCTGTGTCCCAATAAAACTTGATTTAGAAAAGCAATTGGTGGGTCAAATTTGGCCCATGGACAGTAGTTTACTGATTCCGGTTCTAGAGCATCACTTTTTGGCATTCAGGGCAGCTTCTCTTCAGCATATACAGGAAAAAGCATATGTTGACAAGAATTAGATAAGCAGGGCACTAGAGAGAAGGAATGGGATGGAATGTAAAAGACCAGAAAGGTGAAGAGGGGAGAGCAAGGGTAGAGAGCCTTGTGATTGAGCCTTGGGAGAGAAAACTCCAGTGACCTCTGCCATAAGGGAGGGACATTGTCAGAGAGGAAAAAGATTAGTTTTGGCATGGAGCCCTGAAATAAGTTTGGAGGTGGGTGATGTGTGTGAGCATGTGCGTGTGTGTATGTGTGTGTGCATCCGCATCTGTGTGCACTACTGAGACAGAGCCATCGCTCTGTAAAGAGGTGGTACGGTGTTTCACTGGGGCCTAGTTTGGTGCTGGGCACTAATTGGAAACTCACCAAATATTTGTGGAAGGAGAGGAGGGAGGGATTATCCCCATTTTATAGATGAAGAAATTCCACTACAGGGCACTGATGCTTTAAGGTTGAAGTAGCCATTGCTCTTTTTCCTAACAAATCTGCAATGACATAGAATTCTGTGAGAAGGATGTTGAATTTCCCACCTGAGAGAATCTTCAGAATGGAGCAGAGGAGTTTCTAGTGTCCTTACAGGTCCAGTCCTCTTCAGAGAAGGAGGAGGGTGTTGGTGGCCTCTGGGTCACCCCTTCAGCCCTGAACTTCTGTGATATGATATGTTGTTGAAAAGGACATCATCACATGGAGATGGGCAGGGGGCCTGCAGTGCTTATACATGGCTGCCGTTTCCATGATTTCAGAATGAAAGACTTTGTGTTTTTCCTCTCATACTGTCTAGCCCCTTATTTTTCCCCTTTTGATTTCTGAGTTCCAATGTGGCAGGTAGGAGTGAGGAAGGGAAAGTTGAGAATAAATTTCCTGCACTTGAGGCAAGAAATCAGATTCTGGGCCTTTCTTTTGAAATGGACTTGCTGACGTCATCTTGAGAGGTGGGCCAGAGTTTAGGGAAGGCAAATTTGGGCTGTTTCTTCAGATAGAACAATATATTTCCTATAGATATCTAAGTGACATTTTTGCTTTTTAAGATTTTAAAGAGATCTTTTGCATCGTGTAGCAGGGGAGTTGGATTTCCAGGGCATCTTAAAAAGTTGGAATGTGATTGATTAAACTGATTAACCAACAAATCTGTAAAATTTCATATAAGTCATGCATTTAATATAGAACTGGATTACAATTTGCAGTCTATTGCACGGATTCATTAATTTTATTTCACAGACTAAAAAGTTTACTATGCAAATGTATGCAAATCATATAGGAAAATAGTGTTCTTAGCCAAGCAGTACCTGTCTTTTTTCTTTTTTTTTTTTTATTTCCTTGGGACTGTGCCACTGGGGTGGAAAGTGAGATAATAAATGCCTTCAATATTTGAAACTGTGCATTGAACAATTTCCTGAAGGATGATTGAGAGGCTTTTGCCTTTCACAAATATTGCAGTGATTGGCACATCTTTTTTCCTCTTTTTCTCACCTAAAACAGAATGAAGAAGATGAGCAACATTTATGAGTCGGCTGCCAATACACTGGGAATCTTTAACAGCCCCTGCCTGACCAAAGTTGAGCTGCGTGTGGCATGCAAAGGAATTTCTGACAGAGATGCCCTCTCCAAACCAGATCCCTGTGTCATCCTCAAAATGCAGTCCCACGGGCAGTGGTTTGAGGTAGGCATGTCCAGTGAAATGGACAGAAGCATGCCTGGATGATTGGTTCAAAAAATGTTTTGACATTTCCTGTCTTTGGTTGGTTTATTTTGATGAGATGGAAAATTCTAGAAATGAATATGATCATGTTTCTGCTTATTTCACAATGTTTTGATGTGGCTATTTTGATGCTGTGGATATTTTCACATTCACCCTTAATTTGAAACCATAAAACTTTTTACTTACCAAGAAATATTTACAACATACTCTTTGTCGCATCCTCTCCTTGAATCTGTCCCTGTCTCTGAGCTTTGCCCCATACCTCACTGCCACAGCACCAAAAATGACATGAGTGTGTGAGGCCTTGGGTCGTTGGGGATAGGCTGGGCTGGAGTCAGGAAGCTGATGTTCCAAAAATTGGTTCCAGGGATAATTGTGGTCAAGGCAGATTCATAAGAGTAGATTAGACAACTAGAAGTCTGGGAATCATAGCTCCAAGGGAGCAAGTATTTGACAATTGGGATAGAGATGACTACTCAGATGGAATGAGCTCAGTGGATGGGTGTCCTTTCCATAATTTCCTGGGTTAGGTGAGGGAACCAGGAGGATTGGAATGAGTAAGTCATTCCATGGGGTCCCTGGCTCCTAGGCCGCAGTTGAGACTAAGTTCCAGTCTTGGGAACTGGGCTGGGGTACTTACTATGTAGGGTGTTTGGCCAGAACTGAGGAGTAGGGACCAAGACTGGAAGCCAGTCCTCTGACCAAGCCTAAAATAGGATAGTGCAAGGGGAGCTGACTCAGGATGAATGATGTGTCTATGGAGAAACGTGGGTTCTATGGAGAGTTGTTCCAACGGTGATGGAACCCAGTCTCCAGGACTGAAGGAGTGATGTCATTCCAATCCCCATGGGTTAATGGGGGTGAGCTGGATGTGCTACCTCAGCCCAGGTTGGTTGGGGAGTGAAGAAAGATGAACCCTGCTAATGGAAATCATCAGTAGATTCAGCAGTAGGGAGATTGAGGTGGCAGAAGTGGGAAAAAGGAGTACCAGTCTGCAGTTTTAATTGGCTTTAGAGGTAGTCAAACCATATTCAGACATCCCCAAAAAGCATGTGTAGAATGTCCACTCTACGTGTGTGCTAACACATACTCCTTGCTATGCTTGGGTGTGGCGGCTGACTGGGCAGTGGTGGAAATGGAATGGTATTGTGTTTCTCCAAAGAGAAGCAAACTCCAGATTGTCAAGAGTTGACTTGATGTTTTTTTCAAGTTTGTTCTAGGAAGGATTTGTTCTTTTTTTGTGTCTGTTAAACTCTAACCTATCATGGGCCCAGTGGAGAGAAGCTCTAGGAAGAGTGGTGAAGCTCTTTGTCTGTTTGTATCAACTGTACTACATTTGACCTGATGTTTCTGACTAGTGCTCACTGTAGCAGTGGTAGCTTCTGGGAAGGGCTCCCAGGGGCCACTTTACACATTTATTTTTGGAATCAGAACTTAAAATAATATTAGCTAAACATTATTGGGTGCTTATCAAGTGTCAGGCACTGTTCTAAGTGCCTTATGTAAAATAATTTAGTCCTCACAACAATCCTGTGGTATATTATCCTCATCTTACAGATGAGGAAAATGAGGCACAGAAAGGTTAAGTAATTTGCACAAGATCATTCATCTTGTCAGTGGAAACTTTAAGATAAACCCAGGCAGTCAAACTCCAGGGCCTAAGCTCTTTGTTGCTATTTAATACTTACAGTGGACACCAATGTTAGTCTTTGGTGGTTTGTGCAACAGTGTTGTGGGATGGATTCTGCACTTGGATTTTGTTTATTTCTGCTTTGAAGCAAATTGAATTAGGATTGGGTTTTAGTCCTTGTAGTTGTTTCTGTTTTTTTTTTTTGTTTTTTTTTTCTTTTGCTTCTAAGAACCTGGTTTAAGTAAGCAATGTTTTTAAAGATCTTGTCTTGGTGAAGGGTGGAATAGGGAGAAACAAATGGTACAGCTGAAGATGTAGTTTTTACCCTTCCTAACGGAACCAAGAACTCAGTGAAATTTGGATACTATGATTGAAGACGGCAAGAGTAGACTACTACTTGCTTTGAGTCCTCTGGAACAAACTCTTCAAGGTTTCAATACTTCTCCTATCTGTCTACCAATAGCTAGAAGGTGGTGATCCACTCCACAGTAGAAAGAAGGCTCAAAGGACTTGAGAGGCAGCATGTTTACTGATATGTATATATGTGACATCAGCAACTTCTCTGAAAGGAAGTTTGATAGATGTTGACAAGCAGATGAGATTCAAATGAGAAGGCAACTTGCATAGGGGAATGACAGACAGATGGGCAGATTTAGGAATCTTAATTTAACTTCAGGTGTAACCAGGGCTTAAATTGTAAATGTAAAACAGCATTTGCAGCTAGCTTAATGTGTGGAGGGAGTCCTGATAGCACAGCGGCTAAAACACTCAGCTGCCAACTGAAAGGTCTGCAGTTTAAACCCACCAGCCACTCCTTGGGAGAAAGAGGTGGCAGTCGGCTTCCATAAAGATTTACAGCCTTGGAAACCCTACAGGGCAATTCCACTCTTTCCTATAGGGTCACTATGAGTAGGAATCTACGGCAATGGGTTTGGGGGTTAATGTGTGAAGTCTTTTTTTCCTTCTAAATAATTGACTTTTTTAGTGGGATTTTTTGTTTGTTTATCTAACAAGACATCAATGGAAAGCCTATGTTAGAAAAAAGTCACTCTAAAAATTAAAGAAAAAAATTCATCTTTTTTACATAATTTATTATTTGTATATATTCTTTGTCAGTCTTTTCTTTCTAGTGACATATGTTTATATGATTCTGGTTATGCATGTAAAAATTTCTGTCCTTATGTTATTACCTAGTAGTGTATATATTTCCATATTGCTACAATGCTCATCATTATAATTTTAAAGGCAACATACTATCCCATCAAATGGATTTATATAACCATTTCTCTATTTTTTTCTCTTGGAAGTAGCTTCCAAAAATACTCTATTTTAAATAACATTGGAATGAACATCTCTATGCCTAAGGCTTACCCTCTTTTTTTTTTTTTTTTTGAATGAGTTACTAGTAGAGATTCTGTCAAAATGGAACTAGTGGGATAGGGCATACTTGAAGATTTTAATGCATATTGCCAAATTGCTTTTTCAAACTGCCCTGTTGTTGTTAGGTGCCATCGAGTTGGTTCCGACCCATAGCGACCCCGTGTACAACAGAATGAAACACTGCCTGGTCCTGCACCATCCTCACAATCATTGCTATGTTTGAGCTCATTGTTGTAGCCACTGTGTCAGTCCATCTGGGTAAGGGTCTTCTTTTTTCACTAATTTATCACAGTGTTACTCAAAGTGTGATCTGCACACGATTACCAGTCCAAAAATAAGTACAAACAAGATATGGAACTTATGTCATAGTATAAATAAAATCACTGCTTCCATCCTCTAGAAAGTCTTACTCTTCGAAAACAATGTCAGCTAAACTAAACAGCATGCTTACTGATACACCCGGTTTACCATCTGGCACTTTGAGAACTACTCCAATAATTTTTACACTCTTACCAGTACATATTCGTGATACAGCAGGAAAACAGAACTCATGCCAGGTAGGTAATAGAAAGAATTTAATTCAGGGAACTAGTAACAAAGGTGTTGGAAATGCTGAAAATCTAAACAGCTAAAAAGCTGTGAGGGAACCCAGAGATTAACAACAGCAGGAAGCTGTTGCTTTGCTTAGGGCTGGAGCCAGCTTGTACATGTTTCTGGCCACTGATGGTTAGACATTCTGAAATCTTACAAGTCAAAAATGGTCAGGGTGGCTTGAAGCCTAAGAGCTGGGCCACCTAGCAGAAGCTGGATCTATGGAGAGTGGGCCTATCTGATGGGAGCCAGAAAGATAGAGGAGATTCAGATAGTGCTGGAGATGCTGCCTGAAAGGGGGGCGGGTGGAGGTACCCTGGCATCTCCCTTCCCGTTGCTCTCCAGTCTCTCACCAGTGCCTTGCATTGAGACAAACTCTTCAAGCCTTCAGTACCTCTCCCATCTGTTTACAAATAATAGAAGGCTATTGTCATGGATTGAATTATGTCCCCCCAAAAATGTGTGTATCAGTTTGGCTGGGCCATGATTCCTGGTATTGTGTGATTTTCCTATATGTTGTAAATCCTGCCTCTATGATGTTAATGAAGGAGGTTGGGTGGCAGTTGTGTTAATAAGGCAGGACTCAATCTACAGGATTGGACTGTGTCCTGAGGCAATGTCTTGAGATAGAAAAGTCAGAAGTGAGCAGTGAGACAGGGGGACCTCATACCATCAAGAAAGCAGTGAAGGAAGCAGAGTGTGTCCTTTGGACTGGGGTCCCTGCGCAGAGAAGCTCCTAGTCCAGGGGAACACTGAAGAGAAGAAGGCCGACAGAGAGAAAAAGCCTTCCCCTGGAGCTGACGCCCTGAATTTGGACTTTTAGCCTACTTTAACTGTGAGGAAATAAACTTCTCTTGGTTAAAACCATCCACCTGTGGCGTTTCTGTTATAGCAGCACTAGATATGGTCCACCACACAGTAGAAATAAGAGTGTAGAATCCATTCGAGATCAAAGAAGTAAATGGGTGCACATGAACCTAACAACTCACAGTAACTTGGAGAATCATCCATCCACTCCTCAGGTAGTGCACGCTTATTTACTACCGATGCCTACTTTTTGGTGCAAGTTCAGTGAGTGGCCTCTACCTCCCTCACACCTATGCTGGACCCCTAGAAGTTAGAAACACTTTGCAGTCTACTTAAACCATGTAGCTACCAAAGACATTCGACTGTGTGGATCATAGCAAATTGTGGATAACATTACGAAGAATGAGAATTCCAGAACACTTAATTGTGCGCATATGGTACCTATACATAGACCAAGAGGCAGTCGTTTGAACAAAACAAGGGGATAGTGCATGGTTTAAAATCAGGAAAGGTGTGAGTCAGGGTTGTATTCTTTCACCATACTTATTCAATT